ATTTGAGCATTTTGGAGCCAAACACTTACCTTGAAATGGAACAAAATTTAACAGGGCACACTAATTCAACTTGTTTTAAATGCCATATCCACTTGTTTTGCTCAGGCTGCTAGCGTGCTGTCTCAAATCGAAACGGCAAACAAGAAAAAGCAAGGAATTCAGGTGACCTTACTTTCCTTATAAAATATTACTGAGGCCTTCACAAACTTATGGTATGCTTATCTGCATTTGGACATCCTTTGCATGGATTACAGTGGACAGAGGAGGAACAAGAAAACTTCAAGTCGAAGATCACAGAAGCATACGAGCGAGAAGGAAATTGTTATTACTCCACAGCAAGGCTCTGGGATGATGGAATCATCGATCCAGCTGACACGAGAAAAATCATTGGCTTTTGCATCTCTGCTTCCTTGAACCGGCCCTTGGAAGACACCAAATATGGTGTATTTAGAATGTAACAAATGCAACTTTTACATCAACTCCAACGATCAAAAATAATTTACCATAATTTTTCTTCTTAGCTCAATAAAAGAAATCATCGTTCAACATGGCTGATGCTCGTTGACATCGTATAATACACTTCTTACATCTAAAGTTTTAGCGTGCCTTCCTTGTTTCCTTATGACTCTTAAGAGTTTTCAGTATGGTGCAAAAAAACAATTATTTACGTTAATTAGTTTAGTGAACAATACACGTATCACAAAGCGCCCGTGGCCTAATGGATAAGGCGTCTGACTTCTAATCAGGCGACTGTGGGTTCGAATCCCACCGGGCGTGATTTAATAATCTTTTACATTTTTCTACAACCTCAAATTAGTTCCTCAGTTGTTCATAGTTTATCAATGGAGTCCCTGGCTCCATCTCCGTCGTCTATCCTCTTAAATCTTTAACGTGTAGGCAATGCTACTCTTTTTTCTTTTATTTTTTTCCTAAAACAAGTGGCTTCTCAATCTCTCACGTAGGGTTAGAATGTCCTGCCTGGAGTCTCAATCATCTCATCAACAAAGTTATAATAGTTATGAAGAACAAAAACCCAGAACCGAAATTCATTGTCTTTTGGGTTAAATTGAGACTTTCACCACATCACCCATTACAACCAGATATTTGATCCGCTATGTATTTTTTTTTTACCACGGTAGCATCCTCCATTACTTCTCTTGGTTAGAAGGAAAGAAAGATTAATGAAGATTAAGTGTTCGGATTCGTTCCCACCACTCAGATAATATAAAATCAAATATGTTTTTCTTTTCGTTTTCCATTTCAGTAAGAGAGAGAGGGAGAGAGAGAATTTCTTTTTTATGACTTTGATGCGTGCACTGGTATCAGATACTGGGTCCGTGTTGATTTCGGGCGGATAATAGAAAGTTTTCAACCATTTGTTGATCTTTAATCTAGTAAGTGGCTTTTTCAAATTTAAAAAAAAGAGCATTGGGTGTACACTCGAGAAAAGAGAAGAAGATCTTTAATGGTTGATTAGAGTCGCTTGCTGGATATGACGACGGTAGAAGAAAGCCTTTTGATAAGAAATAAGAGTGAAGGTTACTCGAGTTTACTGTTTGAGTTCTAAAATTAATTGAAGTAGAAAAATAAAAAGAAGAAGAAGATGATCGGAGGAGGGTATATTAAGAGGGCTGGTTTCCTTCCGGTATTTAACATTTAATAAAGACACGTTTTTCGAGGAAACCACGTGCTCTTCAAATGTCGTCAAGAGTTGAAAAGGCAAAGGTTTTGGCGAAGACGGCTCAGCTAGCGTTCCTCAAATTTTTTTTCATTGTTTTTATTTTTTAAAATTTTAAAATAATAATCAAACACTATTTTAAAATATCGTTTCACTTTTACCCTTATAAAATTATATGACTCAATGTTCGTGGTTTTACTTAGATTTGAAAAAATGGCAAACAATAATCTAGGAGAAGGAAATGAAAATGTGATAATTATTACACTTTTGCTTTCATAGTTGATAGTTAAAATTGGATTTTTAAAAATGAAAAGTAGAGTATTTATTCGAGAGTAGGAATTGTTATTGCAGCTCCCTCGTCTCATGATCCATCGTGGATTCAAATGTTCATGACTTCCATTGTTAGGGGAATTTGATTTAGATATTCACTAGATGGATTAGTTTGTGTTGTGTGGTGGGTTATATTATTACTATTATTTTAAAAATTTAAGATTATTAGTTATTTTTAATCAAAGTTAACCCAATATAATTTAATTAATTTAATGAGTTTAAATATAAATTAAACTATTGAAAAGAAATATTAATAAAACAAACATAATATTTTTTTAAAAAAAGGAAGATAACAAGACACATTTAAAAATATTTCACTTCTAATAATATAACGTTTAAAGTTAACTTGATATTTAAAGGCAATTTAAAAATGTTTTTCAAAATACTTTTCATTTCAAAAAATATGTTAATAATTTTTTTTATTTTTTTAAAAATTATTTTTAAGATCAACACATCAAAATAATTTTAGAATATAAAAAAATATATTAATTTAATGTAAATTTTTTTAAATTTTTAAAAAATACTTTTTAAATATATTGTCAAATGCTATTACCTCTAAACTTAGAAACACGAACTAGTCAGACTAAGTTATTATAAAAAAAAAAAAATATCACATGACTTAGATAAAAATGTCAATTTACTTCATTGTTAATGTAGAAAGTGAATCACTATGAGAATTCCCATTTCTTAAGTAATTTGATTGTTATTTCAAGATGAAAGAGTCAAAGAAGTGATAAAAAAAATATTTCTTTTATTTTTTATTTTAAAGTATAATAATATATTCCAAACCATCTTTATACAAAAATTATTTAATGACTGGACATGCTTGACTCTTGCTTATTACATTGTGATAATGGGTGGAATTTTATTAAAAAAAAATATTGTGATAATGGATGTATTTTAATTAGAAATATATTAAAATAATATTTTTTTTATTTTTTTAAAAAATAATTTTTGATATTGTTATATTAAAATAATTTTAAAATATAAAAAATAATTTTAAAAAATTAAAATATAAGAGAAACACTGTTTGGAACTGTCTTTAAAATGGTTTTCGTTACCTAAAATTATCTCATGAAAATCCTCCCCGTGTTTTGTGTATTTTTGGTTGGTTTTGTCTTTCTTATCATTATGCTTCTCTTTCTACGGGAAAAGAAAATGATAAAATTAATTGGGGGGTTGTACAGACAAATTATGCTAGAGATTAATGAGTATGGTTTTGAAATTTAACCTGCTGATCGATTCAGTTTAATGATCAAGTTATGGATTAGATAAGTTAATCTAGATTAACTCGAATTAATTCAAAAAAATTAATAAAAAATTATTAATTACATGCAGGGCCGGTTAAAAAGGAGGAGGAGCTAATATAGGCTTCATTATCAAATTAACATAATAAGATAAGATTTGTTTTCTACTTGAATTTAAAATATTTTTCATTTGAGTTCAAGTCACGGAGTCTTAGACAATAGAAAGTAGTTGAGAACTTCTCCTCCAGTCCAAAAACTAGAAGGCTGCTCTCTTTCCTAAATTCGCTCTTTATATTTGAGCATTTATTCACTTTTCTTTTCTTTTTATTTGTTGAGATATTACCCTCCTATTAAAATTATCAATCACAAATAGGTTCAAAGTTGCTACAGTGGGGAAAGAATAGGTTGATGAAGTTTTCTAAGCTGGTGCAAAGATACTTGGTTGCCACAGTGAGGGCAGATACTTTTGGTGATGATGGGAATAGGAATGATGAAGAGAAAGGGAAGATGAAAATTTTAGATGAGAATTTGAAGAGCCCATTTGTTGAGAATGCGATTGCATCCAGAGATGATGGTGTATTTGATATTGAGGTTGTTGTTGTGTTTGTGATTTTAAAAAGGTTGTTTTATAAAAAATATTTTTAGTTGAAATTAGTTTGAAAAAATATATATTTGATTAAAAATATAGTTAAAATTGAGGTTAAACAAAAAATGATTTAATGTGTTTAGTTAAAAAATATTTTTTAAATTGAGGTTATAAAATAATTAAAAAATAAATATATTAATATTAATGATTTTTAATTTAAATATTGTAAATTTAACTACTGTTATTACATCATAAAATAAATAATATCGATATCAAATATTTTTTATTATTCCATTAAACTATATGAAATGTCACCACATACAAAATCTATCCAACAAGGATTATATTTTTTTAAGATTTCTTAAACGCGCAACAACAAAAATTGAATTTTTTGTTACGTTATTAAGCGATCTTCTTTTAATTTTTTGAATAAAACACAATTAAAATAAAAATAAAAACTGATTTTTTTTTAAATTGGGTCGGACTAGGCAAGAAGATAATTGGAATTGCGATCAATCCCATAAATACTACGTCATCATGTGATACCTTTGTAATTTATGTGGTGTTATTAAATAATATTAAATATTAATTTTTCAAGTAAAACATAATTTTTAAAAAAAATTACAATTTAATTCACTTTAAACTAATTTTTTTAAAAATAAAATAATATTGTTCATATTCACTTAAATAATACAAGAAAAATCAATGAATTGCACTGATTTTTCAAAAAAAAAATAAACTAAATTTTTTGTACTAGTTAAAAAAAAATAAACAGTACAACAATGGAGTATATGGTTCCTCCCCCACGAGAAGTAGCAAAATATGCTGCTTCTCAAAATTTATGACACAATCTTTATTTTTAGTGGATAGCACGATATATTTTTTTTTAACCAAACACTGTAATACGCGGCTGCAAGTGAGTTTCACCAACAGCCACGTTACCAAAGGAATATTAGATTTTATAGATTGCTGTTACCTTTCTTTGTTAAGAAAGTAGCCGGGTTTACTTGAATCGACTAAATTTCAAGTTAACTTATTAAGTCAATTGAGTTTTACTAGGCTAACTCCAAATAAATTTTTATTTAGATTCAGACTAATTTTAAGTCTCGATTAACTGGATTCTACATCGACGTACTGGACCAATCCAGGTTTTAAAACTATGTTAACGAGAGGTTTGCCCTTTTCATCTTGTTGAAAAATACATCAGGTGGGTCCCTTTCCCTGCTGTCTCGTTTAAATCACAGCGATCTGCTTGGCCGATTTCTGTTCTTCGCGTCTTATAATCGTACTCATATATTCAGACTCACACGATACTCGTAGCAGCAGACACTACCACCTTCTCTCCCTCTAACGAAATTTCTGTATCTGCTTTTTCTTTCATTTCTTGAAATGGCTTCAAGTGCTACTTCACTTTGCTGCCCACCACTCAGAAGCTCACGCGCCGCCGTTCTCCACCAATGTCAGCAGCTGAACCCTAACAGACTCTCTTTTCCAATCAACTTCAACACCGCTAAAAGAACAACGAATCTCACTGTTCAACGCGTGCCTCTCCCTCTCAAGGTTCTCTGCGGTCGCGGAAACCGAGGTTAAACAAAAAATGAATCCCTAAAACTCTTGATTCTTTCAATTTGTTTCTCTTGATTTTTTATTTTTGTTTCTTGTCTGAGCTGTTTCATTCTTGATGTTTTACTATTATCTTCAATGGTGATCCTAGTTTCTTATCAGGGATTAGACTGGAGTTTAGGAGAATAGATTATTGTTTTTAATGATTTTCACCAGAGGGTTGGGATTTTTTTTGTACTAAAGAATCAAAGATTTGCCTCTAACTTCTTAATGTTAGTAGAAGGCTGTTCCCGATAGAAAATCTAGGTTAATCAAGAAAGAACTTGGCGAGAACTTGAGATTTCATGTTCACGTTGGAGATACAATGTAAATGAATGAAATCCCTAGAAGAAATTGAAAAGAGAGAAAAAGGGGCAAAGAAAGAATCAGAATAGTAGAAACGTGGAAAAAAGCAAGAGAGAAAGAGAGAGAGTTGGAGACTGAGATTCTCACGGCATAGTATCGAATCTGAATATAGCTTCAAAAGGCAGTCCCATTTTGAGAATTAGTTTTCTTCATCCTTTTTTGGTGAGAAGAGACTTGAAACTAGAGCTGTCATGAGAACTTAGAACGAAGCATTAGATTGTTACTTTCGGCTAAATATAGCAAGCTGGTGGTTTATGCAGTGAATGTTGCTTTACTGGGTGACCGAATTTCTTCCCATGGCTGTGAAATCAGTGTTTGTCTTGCTACTAACCAGGCCATTAAATTTTTGGAGTATTGATTAAAGTGGAAGTATTTATTTATTTATTTTATCATGTATGATGAGATTGAATTTGCTTATTAGCTTTACGAAGGGAAACTAATTCCCTTCCGTCGTCATCTCATGTCAAGGTTGATGGCAAAAAACCCCGCCACTTCTGCCCCAGTTTATCATAACTGATTAGTTAACATGTCTGTCAACTGAATCCTGAAAAATGGGAAAAAGTCACTGGCTTTTCAAATCATCTATGGAGCCTTGAAAAGGATTCAGAAAAAGACTATCAAATCCATTATCTGTTTTGCACAAGGCAGTGCAAGGAGTAACTCCTGATCTAACAGTAAAAGCAAGGTGCATGAGTGCATCTACCCATCAAGTTCCTATTGAAGGAGGAACATTACAAGGAAAAATCACTCGCTATCTGTTGGTTGTTGGAGGCATCCTGAAAACATTAAGGTCAAAATATGGTTCTGAAATTGAGTTCTGAAGCTATGGATGGTGCCAAAGAGAATGTTGAAGCCATATGGTAAAAGTAAACTACTTATAAAATGCAGAGGCTAATAGAGCCTTTGAGGATTTTTGTTGGTCCATGAACAGGATTCACGTGGACAAGTGGACTATCTGAAATGATTGAGCAGAGGAAGGACTTAATTTGAAATATGTACTTCTTGGAATAAATGGAAAGGGAATTCAAGATGAAATATTTTCCATTTTGTAATCGATTTTTATCTGTCATGTTGTTAATCTTTGTTGTTCTGTCCTTACATCAATTTAGAAACTTGCATTGTCTTTTGGCTTGAAGTTCTTCTCAGAGAGAATTTTAATCATGTTCGGATTGTCTGCATTTGTTATCCTATTTTGTACTATTTCTTGGTCTTTTCCTCCATTAGGTTGCTGCTAGTATTCTCATCATAGCCAAGGAAGTTTTAAAAGAGTATGGACTAAAAAGCTTGATATGGTTAAAAGCCTCTGCTAGTTAGGTGGTCTATGGTGAAGATTGGATGCTTGCTCCACAAACTTTTTGTGTTTTATACATGTTGCTGGCCTACGGGATTCAGATGCATAATCATGATGTGTATCGCACAATAGCTACATTAAATATGGAAAATTGAGATTTGGCGACAATATATGCAGGTTCTAACAGATTTGTACCATCTGAATAAAGTAGCGAGTTAAAGTCTTTAGAGAAGCTGGAAACACTTTTTTTTTTCTTTTGTGTGTATGTAGAGTAGTTGCTGATCAAATCTTTCAGAGAATGGAGTTTCTCTTGATAGTCTTCGGTGATCTGATGTATTTTGGCTCTTTCATCTTCAGTTTTGCTCGCATTTCTGCTTGCTTTATGGTTATCAAAATTGAGTTTTTTATTTGTTCGCTGAGCTGTCGGTAAGGCACCTACAATATGGTCTTTTTAACCACACCTTTTGGGTTTGTTCAGCTACAGCTGTTACTCAGGACTCTTGGGAGAATTCAATTTTGAAAAGTGATATTCCTGTTCTTGTTGAATTCTATGCAAGTTGGTGTGGGCCTTGCAGGATGGTTCATCGAGTAATTGATGAGATTGCAGCAGAGTATGATGGGAAACTCAAATGCTTTGTGCTTAACACAGACAATGACCTGCAAATTGCTGAGAACTATGAAATTAAGGCGGTGCCAGTTGTTCTACTTTTCAAGAATGGAGAGAAGCGAGAGTCGGTGGTCGGTACCATGCCAAAGGAATTCTATATTGCTGCAGTTGAGAGAGTTATGCAGTCGTGAACTTGGTTCAGTGCATGACTTGAACATGCGTTACAGTCAATCAATTGTGTTTGGTCAGGTATCATAATGCCTGGTGTTCATGAATTGCTTTTTCAGTCATCGAGTGACATGGTGTGAATAGTGTTATAAAATTTACCCCTGCTGGTTATCTCTTTTGGACTTGTGGTGGTGGACTTTGTCTCACCTTTTCTTGGTTGAGAATCTTCTGCTACCCTACCTGCTGTGAATATGTCATTGATTTTTTTCTTGCCCATGCTGTATATCTGGGGGTTTTATTTCTATGGAAAATCAAGGATTTGACTATATTTTGAGCTTAAAACTGTACTGGCGGCATGGCAGATCTGTTCTTTATGATCTGCTGGAGATGGATTGGAAATTTCATGAGATTAGAACTTTGCTTCCCTATATGAAAGAAATGCTTGCATGCCTTTACACTCAGTGCTATACTGTTATTTACCATGGTTCGTTTTGTTTCAACTTTTATACTTGGATAGAAATAGCTATTTGACTCGTGCTTTTCCTCGGATCAAATAATATTTTTCAGCAAGAAGAAGAATATACAGGCTTAGATGAAATTAAAATTAAAATTATTAAATTTAAAAAAGACAAAAAAAACTCTGAGATAATGAGAGTTAATTTGCTAAATTTATAAATTGCGTCAAGAATGTTATTGAATTTAATTATTTTTTATTTCTAAAATTACTTTTCATATTTTTCATTTAATTATTTGTCAGCTTGGTGCATGCTTTTTTATATATTGATAACCAAATTGTTTTCTTTTTTTAAAAAAATAAGGGTGATGTGAAATAAAAAATAGCCCTTTTTAAAAAAATAAAAAATTGATAACAAAAGGAGGTTTTACTTGAAAAAATGCCATAAAAAAATGAAAAAATGATTTATTATTTTTTATAATTTTAAGGGGTTAAAAATAAGAAAAACATATACTAAATTAAACAATATACTATAAAAAAATCATGAAAAATTGATATTAAAAAAAACAATAAAAAATCTAAAATTAAAAATTAAATGATAAAATTAAAAAAAAACTAAATAAATAAAAAAATCAGTAATAAAAAAAATTCATATACAAGATGATGTAATGACTAATCTAAGATTATCTAATGTGTTTGGGCTTTAAAAAAAACTTTAAAGCATGGATTTTTTAATAGCCTATGCCCATGTAATTGGGCTAACTTAATTTTTTTTTAAGCAGTTGTTTTTAAAAAAAATAAACATGCATACATTATTTATTTTTTTTAAAATTCTAACTAGAAAATAAAAAAATATTTTTTATATAAATTTATTTTTCAATCATTTTTTTTAAAATACTCATAAAACACTTTAGATATTTTAATAAACTAATTTATGATTCAAAAATCATACAAAAAAATAGAATTAACCCAAATAAAAAAACCTTCTTAAGTTTATATATGTTTTTTAAGGCAACTTGAAGATGAAAAAATACCTAATCAAAACTTCCTTTACCAAATTGTATTTTTTGACACTAAAATCAATTTTTTTTAGTGGTTGGAATATGTGTAAACGATGTGTTTTTTTCTTTTCATTTGAACTAAGAATTGAAAAGATAAGGAAAATAAGGTCTTTGACCAAAATTAATTTTTTTGAAATTTTAAAAATTAAAAGGACCTAATTTTTATAATTCAAAAGGATATGGGGACTAAATCAAATATTTTACCAAAAAGCCAAAAAACCAACCATTTCCTTGATTTTTTTTATTTATTCTGGTCTTTTGTCTTTTAAATGTTCCTTTCCTTAACAATTTTATCTAAATTAGTTTCCAATCAAGTCCAGGGAAAAAAGTAAATAAAATGAAAAGCATGTTGATGCATATTAATAATGAGTATATGTAAGTACAACTTCTTGATATTTGTATATTATTTATTGAATAAAAATTTTAGATATTCATAAATTATTTATCAAGTTTTAAAAATCTATATGAATATCCATTATATACTATTATTTAAGAAAAAAATAAAATAGTTATTATATATATTTAAAAGTATATATATGCATATTAGATGATAAAACGACATACATATATATATTTGTGTATATATGTGTTGAGATATCCATATGCCATAATTTATTAAAAAAGAATTAGAATGCTCTACAAATATATCTATATAATATAAATATATATTTTGAATTAGGTTTGGAAAACACGCAAACTTATTTCAAGTTAGGTGGTCATTTTATTATATAACATGTTTTCTTAGTTTTTTTTTTTAGACTACAATTATAACATGCCTTTTTCTTTAAAAAAACAAAAAACAAGGTATGCATTTGAGAGTGTTTTTTTCCTTCAATTCCACATAAGTTTATTTGTAATTTCTAGGGCTATAAAGAACATTTTGGTATTTACATGTTGAGTTTTTAATTTTTAATTTTAAAAAATTGTTAGTGCATGCTCATAACACGCCATAGTGTTTGTTTTTTGGATGGCATATACAATATCTTATGTGATCGAACTTGGTCTTTTGTTGTGTCTTTAAAAGCGTTATCGTGTATTTTTTCTCTTGGTGCAGTGTGTAAAAGCGAATGATGAATGATTTATCTTCAATGATTTTTTTTTATTTTTTTTTATCTTTTTTTACATATAATGCATGTCTGTTTTTTTAAAAGTTTTTTTAGTTTTTATATTTTTTATTGCTTTTTTTTTCCTTGACTGTTTTAGAATTTTTTTTATTTTCAATTTAGTTATTAAATTATAATTTGCATATATTATTTTTTAAAGTTGTTCGTTATTTTTTTGATTTTTGATTTTTTTCTTAATTTTTTTGTTAAAATTTTATTCGTTTTTAATTTATTCAATCAAAATTTATATTATTTTATTTTTTTAATTTAACCCTTATTTTTTTAATAAAAATTTTTTCTTTTTAATTTATCATTTTAATATAAATTTTGTTAACACTCTCTAAATTTTTTTTTTTATTTAAAATTTTTTTTTATTTTTTTAATTATTATTTTTTGCGTGCTTGATTGCGGAGGGTGCGGGTGAAAAAAAAACAGGGCGCGTATACTCAGAATATCTAGAAACACTTGATGGTATCGACATTTGTGACTAGTATCGGTTAACGAGCGAGCTTGAAGCGGGAGTTTGTCCTTTGATTTCGGCCTCAAAGGCTCAAACCATTATATCCGTTAAAAGCCCAAAATCTTGACAACTCTCTTTCTCGAACAGTCAACGTTCTAGAAGGAAAAAACAAAAAAACACCTAGTAAAATCTTTCACTGTTCTACCTTAAAAATCTTAGTTTTAGTAAGAAAAATTACCCAGAAAAAGCAACAACCCCACCCATCATAAAAGAGGGGAAACAATGTGCATACCACGAAAAAGAAAAAGGAAAAAGAAAAAGAAAAAGAATAATGTTTCTTCCTTTCTTCAACTGCAGGTCTCTCTGTATTTGTATAATTAGTAATCCAATAAGAGTGATGGTCGTCTTCTTGTGATCTTTCTTGGATAATAATTTATCGGATCTTTGGCCTTCTCTTTTGTTGTTCAACAAGATCTCCGTTTCTATTTGGTTTCTGATGATAGCAACGCATTTTTTAAGAAAGAGTTGCTCTATGGCCTCTATATCAGGTACCTTTTCTTTTCATTTCTTAATAATTGAGTTTCATCTACGAATTAAGTTTCTCATATCAAATTGATTGAGAATTTTTCATTTTTAGAGTTTTCCGTAGTACTTGAGTTATATAGTATCAGTATTTTTTTTATGATCAGTTTAGGTCCAATTGGAATTATTAGCTTTTACTTTCTGTTGCCGTGACTTGAGTGCCCACTTTCCTATCTATTGATTGATCAACCAGTTTATTTTTATTATGAAATACATAATTTGGGCTTTGGAGTTAGATTTGAACTTATGAGTTTGAGAGATAGACATCAGGCTAAAACCATAATCGTCAATTTAAAATTTCTTGGGCTTTGTTGCTAAACATGGAGTCTTGATCAGCTTTCTCATGAAATACCAGATACATCTATTGCTAAGTTTGAATAACCTATGGGGTTTCTAATGTCGACTCTAGTTTTTTTAAGGGACATCCTATGTTGTTTAGTGACTTTTATCCTCCTCCTCTGGCAATCTACAGGAATCTTTTAACTTTTCGACAACATAGAAGTAATAACAATAGCATTAAAAAAAAAGTGATGGAAAATGCAAATCCATCGGCATCAATGCTTCCTTCGGATTCTCCTGAACAGATGGGAATCCACATGGTAGATTCAAACGTGCAAGCTATTCAGCCTTCTGTGAACCAGCAAATTCGACCCTCTTTGGATGGTCCTGTAGCTATCCTTTGGGATATTGAGAACTGTCCTGTCCCTAGTGATGTCCGCTCTGAAGATGTGGCTGGCAATATCAGAATGGCTTTGCAGGTGCACCCTGTAATTAAAGGAGCTGTAATGATGTTTTCTGCATATGGAGATTTTAACTCCTTCCCCAGACGACTGAGAGAAGGCTGCCAGAGAACCGGTGTTAAACTAATTGATGTTCCAAATGGTAGAAAGGATGCTGCTGACAAGGCTATTTTGGTCGACATGTTTCTCTTTGCTCTTGACAACCCCCCACCTTCCTCCATCATGCTTATCTCTGGGGATGTGGATTTTTCTCCAGCACTTCACATACTTGGTCAACGTGGATATACTGTGATTCTTGTTATCCCTTCTGGCGTTGGTGTTTCATCTGCCCTGTGCAACGCAGGCAAGTTTGTTTGGGACTGGCCTAGTGTGGCCCGTGGGGAAGGTTTTATACCCCCCTTGAAGACATTATTGCCTGCCCATCTAGGACCAGCTGACATTGCTGGTTATTCCATGGGGTGCCGTATAAATGACAGCCATGATGGCCAGAATGAAGAAGAGGCAATTGTATACAGAGGGCTCTCGCAAAGCTATTACAACTTGAGAGATTTCTCTATAGTGTCACATTCTTTATCTGAATACAACAGTAGTTCTTTGATGAGTCTGCCTTGTTTCCCCACTAGTTCAAGGTCACAGAGTCTCCCATCTGGTCTGAATGAAGTTTCAGCAGGTCCTGCTTCTTATGATGAGTATTATTCTACCATGTGGGTACAGCCTGGGGGCATAAATAGTCTGAAAGCTCAGCTAGTGAAGTTGCTTGAAATTTCAGGAGGATGTTTGCCTCTTACCCGAGTTCCTCCTGAGTACCAGAAGATGTACGGACGGCCTCTTTGTGTTTCAGAGTATGGGGCATTGAAGCTTGTTAATCTTTTCAAGAAAATGGGTGATGCAATGGCAATAGATGGAAAGGCTCAAAAGAAGTTTGTCTATCTTAAAAACTGGAAAGCTGGTCCAAGTGCTCCTCCTATAATTCTGGCAAAGAGGGATAAGACAGGAAAGGGGCCTCAGGACGAGAGTTTGGACATTGTGACAGGCGGTGGCTCTTCAGATGAGCTCTCAGATGAAGAAAGAATGGTAAATAAGAAACAGGAGAATAGGAGGAAACAAGAGAAGACTAATTTGGGAGCACCAGCTCGATATGAAGTTGATGACCCAAACCTCGAGCAGTTCAAGTTTGAGTTGCAGGAGATTCTAGTGAGCTATTCTTCTTGGATTTTCTTAGGTTGTTTTGAGGCAATATACCAGCAACGATACAAGAAACCATTGGACTATCAAAGTCTTGGTGTGGATCAGCTAGAGCAGCTTTTTGACAAGGTGAGAGATGTCGTGGTCTTGCACGAAGAACCAGCAAGCAAGAAGAAATTCCTGGCTGCAGTTGGTGGCTAGAAGAGTTTAGAGTTGCTTGTCTTGTAGCGTGTTCACTTTACATAGAACAGATAGTTGAGGCATGCTTATCATTGCATGCTCTCTCATAGTTCTTTTTTTCATTTTTTTTGCCGTATATTTCATAAAAGGTGGAGGAAAAGGCTGGATCACATTTGTTCTTTTATAATTATGTGTCCTGCATGGATTTGAGTGTAAAGTTTTAAATTTCCACGTGTGCCTTTGCCTCATTGTTTGTAACTGATAAAATTACTGATGTGAGATCTGTACGTAAATTCACAGTTTCGTGCCCGTGCACTTTTTAAATGTTCTCTCCTACTTACTCTTGTATTACACGGTAGCTAATGAATGATTGATCTTACTAATCTATCAAAGTGAAGATACTTCTGCTTGTAGCATTTTTGTATGGAGTGGGTATGCTTACACCGCTGTGATTTCAAGTGTTTAAATGGTGGCGTCGAAGGATACCCTCTCATAAATTACAGTGATTCAAAAAAAGGAAAAAGTGGTATAGAAGCTTTCTCAAACCAAAAAAGCATGCTTTACTGGTGCCCTTGAAAAAATTATTACCCTGGGTTTGCTGAAAAACGATCAGCAGAATAAAGTTTGTGAAATGTCCATGGAGGAGTATTTTCAGGCCAATCCTTTTGGAATTGTGGAGAGGCTACACTTAGGCAGACATGCTATATTATCATTTTATTTGGTGTAATGATCTTAGGCTAAAAACTGATAAGGATGGCCAATCCTTTTGGAATTGTGGAGAGGCTACACTTAGGCAGACATGCTATATTATCATTTTATTTGGTGTAATGATCTTAGGCTAAAAACTGAAAAGGATTCTCAAATTAGATGTGCCGAGAGCAGGTGATTCAAGTCTTCGGGGATGCAATTGCAGAGACAACGGGACTCCTAACGACATGCCTTCCATTGACCTCATACCAGCTCAAAAAGCCGTAATTCCCAAAATAATCGCTCTGTGGAGTAACACTAGCAGCTTCCAAATCGATCTCCACGGTCATATTAAATTCAGCTTTGCTGTTTTTTCCTGAAAATGTAAGTGTTGTTGGTTGGACTAGAGCTTTCATACCCCGGGGAGCTGAGATCACCGCACGATAGACAGAGCTATTATCTGCTACATTTGTCAACACCCTCTTGAAGGTAGTGGTGCTCGTATTAGTTTTGTTCAATAGAACAAGGAAAGAAGGATAGTTAAGATCCAGGCTAGCATATTGACAAGTAAAATTTGAAGTCCCTGTAATGATTTGAACCTGTTGGCTTGTATAATTCATCGCACACAGGTAGTTAATGTAATCCTCTGCCACTATATCGTACACGAGGCCAGGATCCATCGCTTTGTTGGGATTGACATGCCCCGCTCCAAAATCAAGGGGTGTCCCAGCAACTTCAGTGGTCATATCAATTATTCTACCATCTGCGTTGTCCATGACATCAGCAGTTGTCATCAGTGCTGATCGGATGGCAGCAGGACTCCAATCACGGTGGGCAGCTTTAAGCAGTGCAGCTATCCCAGCTACATGGGGGCATGACATTGATGTGCCAGAAACAAGAGCGTAATCTGTGAGCAAATAATCGTCTTCACGAATTGGCGCAAATCCTCTATTAGGAACCCAAGCAGCAAGAATATGATAACCAGGAGCCAGAATGTCAGGTTTCAGAGTCCACGGGGATCTTCGATCAGGTCCTCGAGAAGAAAAATATGCCACTTTCGGAGCTGGCTTAGTACCTAGCAATGTTAACCCGAACTTTACACTAACTGTTGCGTTTGTGGTATTCATGATATAGTTCTTGAGCAAGTTTCCGTCTTTTGGGCTCACTATCACAATCGGCATGTAGAAGTAGTCTGGGTGGAGAAATTCTGCATCGTCTTCACTGAAGATAGCCCCAGTAGCTCCAGCGATGTCTGGCCCATATCGGTAATTTTCAGACATCTGTCGAAACCGTGATGACTCATCATCATAGTCACAGAAGAGGAACTTGCCTGCAACATCTTTGGGGTCCAAGGAGTTCCACTCACAAACTTCTTTGCTTCGATTTCCAAGCCCGAAGTATACAGGAACTCGCGAAATAAACAAATTCTCAGGATAAATAGATGTTCCAGTGACGATAATTGAGCCATTTCCCAGTGTGACTTCAGCTCCAAACTGTCGGTCAATGGTTCCGGCACCAATGGTGGTGAGCCAAGGAGCTCCATTGAGCATGGTGTATCCATGAGGCCCTGAATTTCCAGCAGAACATGTAACAAATATCCCTTTCTTCAAGGCTGCAAATGCTCCAATGGCTATTGGATTCTCATAGAACGGTGTCTCAAAGAATCCCAAAGACAATGACATGATGTCCACACCATCTTCTATGGCTTGATCCATGCCAGCAAGCGTATCTGTTGCCGCAGCATCATAACCGTCACTATCGCCATTATAGAAAATCACCTTGTACATGGCAATTCTGGCCAATGGTGCCATTCCTGTCGCTGTCCCTTTTGCATAACCGAAATAATCAGCATGTTGCACCGGACTGCCACCTGCTGTTGAAGATGTGTGGCTTCCGTGGCCCATGTAATCCCTTGGAGAATCATAGTCATCTGCACTTGATATATTCAACCCTACTTGCTTCATGCCTTGGCTGAACTTGCGCGCACCAATAAGTTTTTTGTTGCAATGAGAAGTGTTAAATTCTGTTCCTGTTTCGCAGATGCCACGCCATCGCTGCGGAACTGGCGGCATGTTTTTATCATTGAAGCTCTCACTTTCAGGCCAAATTCCAGTATCAAGAACACCAATAATCACATCATCACCAAACTTGCCAGCTGGCCATGCTCCAGCACGTTTGTTTAGGCCCAGAAACTTTGGGGTATGGGTGGTGTGGAGATGGCCTATTGATTCTGGGAAGGTAGCAACATGACCAGGCAAACTCTCCAGTTGGTCAAGGTGGGTTTGGGACAACACAGCACTGAACCCATCCATGACATGCTTGTAAGAGTAGAGATGGATAGGAGGAATGTCATCTGGCGATGACAGGGATGACAGTGTTGACACGTACCAATCATGCTGGGTGGAGAAGGTAGATGGCATCCCGGTCTTGTCCATATGGATAATGTAGGTTTTTCGGTCATTTGATGTGGAAAATGATGTGGCAATTGGGAAAAGAAGGCAGAGAGCAAAGAGAAGTTTGGGAAGAGCAAAATGATCCATTGTTAGGATCATTAACTACTGAAGGTGGGAATTGAAGTGCTGAACATTCTAAGAATGTCATATATATACACTCATAAGCTGATCCATGGCCTAGGCATAGGTTACATCTGATTCTACGACAATCTCAGAAACGGCTACGGATTGGTCTTGATATTTACTAAGCCAGCAGGTCTACAAGATTAGCATTGTTTTGATCATCCAAATGTCAGCCAATAATCGCAGATGATAGATTTTGTCTTCTCTTTCACGCTGGATTTTCCAAAGGAAACATAGTAATTGGTTCCATGATTGGGAGTCATGTCAACCACCGTCTTCATGTTCAACTTTTGGAGATGGAAATTACTATCGTTTTCTCCGTGCAAGCATAGGCACGTTGAAATGCTACCAGAACAAGCTAGAATGCCGTCGCAATAAGAATACACTAGGAAAGAAAGAACAGAAGAGTTTCGACAGCATGCAATTTTCTATTAGTCCAATTCATTCAAATCTTTGTAGTGTATCCGAAGTTCCAGGTCCCTCCTGTAATGATCAAATACAAGACAAGTCGTTGCAAAAATTCAAAGTTCGGTAGCCTACCAGAACAGAAAATATGAGTCTTTGAAGTGCTCTACATTATAACTGGAGTTGATCTTAGAAAACACACCACTTCAGTGGGATCCTCTTGTTCTAGATATCCACCTTTTGGTGATGTTTCTACCAGGGTAGTCAAGAAACGAGGTTCTTTATGAGATAGAGATGCGTGAGCTTCTAGTGGAGTAGTGGTGCCAGATTTTGATCTTTACTACCCGTTCCTAGCCTTTTCCCTTCACATTGAGAATGGTTATTCAGGTGGATCAAAATTTTAGTGTCCTTGTGAGTTGTGTGGCACGTTTCAATTACACGAGGTTGAGATTTCCAGGTGGGCACTACAGTTTCTGTGTTCCAGTCCCAATAGAAAGCAGTGGTATCTCTATTTGGATGGAGAATCCCGTCTTCGTGTATTAAAAGTTAAAACCTTTCACTGGTTGGACCATTGACTCAGCAATCCACACAATCCATGTTAATGGTTGCAAAATCAAAGATTTGTTCATCGATAATGAAAGAGGAAATTTATATATTTTCCAGGTTCAATTCTTCCAGAAACTTAAAACATCAACTAAAGAAATGGATGTATAGTGACTACTTTCACAATTGGCTTTTCTATCTACCTGGTGATATGTATTCTCAAAAGACATTGACAAGCTCAACGGAATGAAATTTTAAACTCAGCAAAGATAAGCAAACATGATGACCAAGACTGATAGAAGTGCTCCAGCTGTCTAGCATACCATGATTGGTGGTTGAGGCACACGATTACAAATTATAGCCTCAAACAGAGAGAATATTGGAGGGAGATTGTGGAGAGCCAGTTTCAAGTAAAAAGCTTCTACTACAATACGACCTCGATGTGCTAGAAGAGGAAGCAAGATATCTTCCATCTCCGCTATGAAAAATAGCATCACTCTTGCGTGATTTTCCTCTGCTCATTCTTCCTCGTCCTTCACTTCCTTCACACTCTTCATCTTCCACAGCCTGCACAAACCCGCTATGCATGGGGTCTGAACTCTCATACAAAAGTCTAAGGACTTGTTTAATCGAAGGCCTTGCCCGGCCTTCCCTCTGTGTGCACCATCTAACAATAGTCACAATAGTCTGAAGCTGGTCCATGTCAAAGGAATCCCTGATGCGTGGATCCACTAACTCAGGTAGTCTTGAATCAGATGACATGAATATTTGAGACCACTCCACCAAATTCCTGCTCTCCTGTATTGCTCTTCTTGCAGTCACTATCTCCAGCAGGACCACACCATAGCTATATATATCACTTTTCTCAGTAAGCTCTTGAGTGACCACATACTCAGGATCCATGTAACCTGAAAATCATTGCATATTCAGGCCTCTTAATAAAGTGAAACATGTAGATATTTAAGGTTAGAACAAAAATATTTTATTCCCGAACCTGGAGTTCCACGGATATCAGTATTTACTGGTTCAAAGCATATAGAACCATCCTTTGAAGCATGGGCAAGGCCAAAATCTGCAACCTGGAAAATAAAATTGGTGTGAAGGAGAAACTGTAAAAGATAAACCAGTGATGTGTATGGTTTTGCAGAGTCCTTCTCGCAGGGCAAAATCATTCCATCAAGATTTTTGGTGTGACATTCAAATGTTTTGAAATAATGGGGTTTTATTACAAGTAATATCATTTTCACAGTGGATAATTGAGAAATACAAAAAAGGCCATGAAAGAAAAAAAATTGCAATAGCCTCATGGTGGTAAGTCAATCCACTACCTTAGCAACAAAATTTTCATCTAGTAAAATGTTGCTTGATTTTATGTCCCTGTGGCACAGAGGCGGATCACAATAAAAGTGGAGATACTCCTGCAAGTAAGAAAAGAAACTGAGTAGGGAAAAATAATTCATAAAAGCCTGAAACAAAACAAATCTGTCCCTAAGGCAAGATGCTGTTTCTGTTCATTACCAAAGCATTAGCCACGTCGATAGCAATCTGCATTCTGGTCTGCCAACTCAGAGGACTTCCAGAGGCTGAAAACAGGATGTCAAATCTATTCAGAACACAAGGCCATCAAATACGAGATTCTCACCAATATAAGAAAACACTCGTCTGTATAACCAACAGAATTTGAATCCATAAATCAGCTGGAGAAAAAAAATTCTTTGTTAAATAGAGGCATGAATCACATGTGTACATTCACATCAAAGAGAGATATTTATCTTGTGTGCATCACTACAGAATTGTTTTCCAAAGAAATATAAAATGAAAACGAAGAGTAATGCACCATGTCAAGTGGCCTTGCAAAATGGGTGGCGAAAATAAAGAAACGTACAATGAAGATGATCCTTTAAGCTTCCATTTGCCATATACTCGTACATGAGGAACCTGCCATTAAACAAAGAGTATTTGATTTTGCTGTTACAGTAGAGATAACCCCACAAAGCCAGATGTAGAATACGATTTAGGTAGAAACCTTGCAAATATTTTTAACCTCATGTTCAGTATATTAAACTCATGCAAAAGTAGCCATGGCACACATTGAGCACATCACATTGAAAAGACCTCAATTATCTACTTGTTAATTGTTATAAAACATTTAGTAACAAGAAAATTTGCAAGGCTGCTTTCATTAAGAGAGAGCATACAAACATTTAAATAGGCAATAAGGAAACACTCATTGAGTCTTGGTTTTATTTGTAAGATAAGATGGGGCCAATCATAATTACGTGCATGCAGAATTAAACTACCTCTCATTCTTTTTTATGCAAAAGCCTCTTAGAGCAACAAGATGGCGGTGGTGCAACCTAGCAAGTAGTTCTATCTCTCTGCAGAAATCCTCTTCTACCTGCTCTGAAACCTTGTCCATCCGCTTCACTGCTGCCACTAAGCCATCACTAAATTCAGCTTTGTATACAGTTCCAAATCCTCCCTGTCCAACAATTGTATTGAAGTTATCTGTTGCCTTCATTGTCTCTTTATAGCTGAATTTTCGTAACATTGATGCAGGCCCTGCAGATGATAACCAGCCCCACCCAAACAACCCAAAGTTATGAACTAAATAAAAAAAGGCAATTTTAATGCAGCCCAGCATGAAGAAAGCACATAACCAGGAAAACCCAGAGCCACACCTTCTTGAAATTTCCGTGTAGGCCTAGGAGGAGGGATGGATCTTGGAAAGGTCTTATCTATATTCTCAGATTCCTCTAGTTCTCTGCTTTTCCTACGAATAAGAACTATCAAGACTATCAGCATCACAAAGGCAACTGCTGTGACCGCAATGCCAACAATTGGAACTAATGTCAAATGGTATGGGTGGTGAGTTGATTTTAGGGGTAGTCCCAACATAACTTGGCTGGGACCAGCAGCTGTCAATGGACTTGGAGGGGCTTCAGGAGTGACTGAAGATGGAGGAGGCTCTGAAACACAAATAAAAAGTGAGTTAAATGGTTGGATAAACGGAACATAGAACAACAACTACAAATGGAGTGACTTCGCATGATGTGAGACAGTTCAGATAAAGGCCAAGAAACTACAGTCAAATCATAGTAAACATATAATATCCTGTGTTTAGAAGGTGATAAACATGACAATTAATGGACGAAAGGGTCTGACTGAGGCAATATATTGGGAAAAAGTTAAGCCTTTTCCAGGGTTAATCTCCATGCATCCTAGTTCTTCTTAAAATAAATGCAGTACACTCGGTCCATTTACCCTTTTATGGTAAGTTTGTTCCCAAAGCAAACCAATTGTTGAAACTATCAAACTAACACTAATCACCATCAATATTTAAACTTCTACTTCAATTATTTAAGCCATTATCTTAATTTCATAAACACAAGAATATACAACTAGCACGACACATACTCAACACAAACTAGAAATCAGTAAATACAAGAAACAGAATACTCATACCTGAAGGGGTGTTGAGCCCTTGAACTCCGAAGAAACAGCTTGCAATTTCAACAGCCGAAGCATCATCAAATTGGCTTGCAAGGGCAGTGAAAGCTGCATCACGGCAGGTACTCAATGTCACATTATTATCTGTTCCCACTAGATGATGAAGGTATATAATGCCAGCATTTAAACACCTCTTGCAATCACTTTTTAATGAAAGTGGCAGTCTGCAATTTTGTGCGACTCTCACAAATTTTGGAGACTCCAACATCTGAGTAATAGTTGTTCGACCCCCGCACTCATAATTCACTCGAACTTTCGTCCCAAACCCACAAAAAATTGTTGCATTACTTGGAACTCCATACAGTTGCATGGATTGAGAAATGGAGCGAAGACATATATCAGATACATTCGAGGCAACCCCTAAGTTGCTAGTTGTATTTGCATAGCGAGCAATGGAAACTGCTATAAACGCATTAATATAGCGGCAACATTGTCCTCTTTTATCTTTATCGGAGCACACAGCGGCTGCTAAGGTAAAGTTTGATCCACTCAAATCCAAAGGGCAATCTGCAGAAGTAACAGGTGTTATTATCAATCAAACAAACCATTTTTCACAAAAAATTCATCACCCAAAACATAGACTTTTGATTGTTCACTTGGAAGCTACAAATTTCACCAATTTCTATACTAACACGACAATATATTTCCCTTTTGGTACATTAAAGTAGACAATCTCTAAATTTTATGGCATTGTGACACTATAGCTGTAATATGGTAAATATCACTAACCCGGTTACAAAAAAAATTGGTCATGAAATTCCAGAAGTCCCAAGAATTAAACACATTGCAAATACTCATTAATGCCGAAACAAAGCAATAACAAACTAACAACACCAATAACAACTCAAAGAATTCAAGCTAAAAACCAAAACTCTCTTCCAAAAATCCACCCTTTTCTCACAAAATAATTCCAAACCATAAAGAAAAACAAAAAAACAATCAGTAAAATACAAGTAACTTCCTTTCTTACATGCATATCAAAGCCTCCATCTTTCTAAAACAGAAAAGAAATATTACTTAAAGGCTAATAACCTGCCGTCGTTGAAGGCAGCCGCTTTGCAATAAATGCAAGTAAACCCAACACCAACAAGGCATGTCTATGCACCACCATATTCAAGACCCAAGAAGGAAACTTCGGGGCTAGAGAGAGAGAAATAGAAGGCGGCCGTCAAAAACAGACGCGGGGTATGGTATGTGAGTACATTTTAAGGGACTAAACTGTTCATTCACGGTGGTGAGAGGACCGAGTGAGGTCTGAGAGATAGACTAGTGTGTACGTACAGCGGAGTTATTGTGGCTTGTGACCATATCGGAAATGGAAAAGTCTAATTTCTAAATGTAATGCGCATAAAAAAGAAGTGGGTCCACGCCTCCATGGTCACACTGTTCACTTATGGTTCTGGGTCTCAAGTGGCTAGTGGTTTCACCAGGGTCCAGTCACCAGCGAGCGATGAAATGGCAGGTGTTGGATGTTGGGTATAAATTATGCTGCTTTTATTGTTTTTGTCATCACTGTGATTGAGTAGTTCAATTGGAACAGGTATAAAGTGAAATTGAAAGAAGATATTGTTTTCCTTGGCTTTTCTTTCGGCAGCCTTGCCAATAGTAGCAGTTCATTTTCTTGGTATGTTCCCCTTTCACACCCGGTCTCCCAAGCTCATAGCCATTGGTTGTTTGTCCCTCTGGAGACTTGTTTTGAATCGTGAAAAAATATATTTTATATTTTTTAATCAACATATCAAATCAATAAAAACTAATAATTTTTTTTAAATGAACACTACCACCGTAAAAGTGGTAAAAGATGAAATGATTTGGAGATTTTGGAAAATAAATCATCACCATGTCTCTTAAGACAGACCTGGCAGCACGTGGAGTATCGTGTAAATGGAGACTCGTCAAACTAGGAAGCTCAAAAGGACCCACATGTTCTTCTCACAAGAACGAGCACGAAGGAGCAGGCAGCAACGGGCAATAGCCCAAAGCCATGCCCGCCTCTTCGGTAATGGGGCAACGGGCACTGGTCTCTTTGGAATTATACATATAAATCTCCAATATGGACAAAATGGCAGCTAATCTCTCCTGCAATAATAGTAATAAGAAAATCGCCAATACTAAATTGCAAGCCCACATGGATGTTGCAAGCATCTGTTGATAATGACGCCACAAGTTAGGACCATTGTTTTCTTGAAAGGGAGTGACATTTTTGTTTAGGTAGGAAAGCTTTCGGGTTATGACTTGCGAGTGCTCTTTTCACTTTTTAACCCTTGTAATCCACGCCGAGAATCTTAGTGCATTCCACCTTTGAATCGGGTGATTAGAGCATAATTGTTTCTGCACTCTATCTAATTGCGTGAAGTGAAAGGGTAATATGATTCGGAGGACAACTGTGTATGCACAAGTGCTGGAACATTCTCAATGCATTGACCTGAATCTTTTTTTTTTAATCAGTCGACAGTGCTGGAGGCCTCGATGTTCTTCCGCCTCCTCTCGGTTAGATAAATGTCATGTCTTAGCTAACCTCGTGAAGATGGGCCCATGGTTCATTATTCGTTTGGTTTTGCAAATCTTGCCATGCAACTCTCGTCGCACACCAGCCCAGCTTTCATCATCGTACCTTCAATTATTGTTTTCTTAAAAACCCTATCAGTAGTAATAAATAAATGCATGTAAAATAATTTCCAGAAAAGAAATAAACAGGATTACAGGAGCATTTCACTTGTCGTTTATGAAAAGTTAGTAAATATTACATGTAGTCCCTGTACTTTATAAAACTATTTTATTGTTTTATATCAACCACTTATGACTTTAATAAGTCTCGCTCACACCATATATATATATATATATATATATATATATATACCAGGTGATATCCCCTTGCCTAGAATGAATGTACAAACTATGAATATGATGCCTGAAATAGATTGATTTTATATCACCCTTCAATTCGAATTAACAAAAACAATGTCTCCTTGTATAATATGGATTTCAAACATTCACGATCTGAATGTGAATAAGTCAAATTACTTATTCCTCGGTTTATTAGTGAACTATCTCTCCAGAGATTGTGAAAGATATTCCATTAGAAATATTCTTGTTATTGTTTCAACTCATATTCCCCAAAAAATGGATCCCGCTCTAATAGCTCCGAATAAATTAAATACATGCATTAAGATACGAAGGCTTCTTATTCCACAACAACGAAAGCACGTTTTCACTCTTTCAACTCAATTGAAAGACGGAGCGTTGGCGTACCCCTGTTCGGTTTGCGATGCTGTGAGCTTGCAAGCTTATAACATACTTTTGTATTGTTGTGGATTTATAAAAAAATCATATAAAAAAATTGATGTTATTCATAATATTTTAAAGAAAAAAATTATAAAGTTATATTTTTAACCAACTCGATATTAAAAAAATAAAATAGATAAAAACAATTATAAAAAAACACAAAAAAAGGATGATAATTTTGGGAAAAAAAACAAAAAGCAAATAATAAAAAAAAACACATGTTGGGAAAGTCAAAGCTAAATTTTCAACCAACCCAATATTAAAATCATATAAGAAAGCACTGTAGCAATCTATAGTGTTTTGTGAGGAAATATACAATTATAATTCTCAACCAGCTCAATATTAAAAAAAATCAATAAAAAAAATTTAAAAAAATAAAAAAAATAAAAGGAAAAAAAACATGTAAGGAAACATTATAACAATCTATAGTGTTTCATGAGAAAATATACAGCTGTAATTTTTAACCAGCTCAATATTAAAACAATAAAAACGACAAAGATAATTAAAAAAAATCATATGAGAAAACATTATAGCAATCAATGATGTTTTAAGAAAAAAAATGAAATTGTCAACCAGCTCAGTATGAAAAAAATAAATTTGACAAAAACATATTTGAAAAAAAAATGTCAATAAAAAATATATAGAAAAACACTGTAGCAAAGCAAAAATCATTTGGAAAAATATTGTAGCAATCTACAGTGTTTTAAATAACTATAAAGCTAAATTTTCAATTAGCTTAATATAAAAAAATAAAATCGATAAGGATAATTCTGAAAATGTTTTTTAATAAAAAACCATGTATAAAAACATTGTAGCAATCTAGTGTTTCAAAGAAAAAAATTAAAAAATTAAATTTTCAATTAGCTCAATTGTAAAAAAATAAAATCAACAAAAATAATTATGAAAAAATATATATAATGAAGAAAGATAATTTTGGGAAAAATTTAAAAATTTAAAAAAATAAAAAAACATGGGAAAAGCTAAAGCTAAAGCTAAATTCTCAACCAACTCAATATTGAAAAAATAAATTCGACAAAGATAATTAAAAACAAATGAAGGGAAAATATTGTAGCCAAACAAAAACCATGTAAAAGAAACACTGTAGTAATTCATAATATTTTTTTTTCAAAAAAAATTACAAAGCTAAATTCTCAACCAGCTCAATATATAAAAAAACTGACAAAAACTATTTTTTTTTACGAAAAAAGTCAACTCTAGGTAAAAAAATAAAATAAAAAAATATGTGGGGAAAGCTACAGTGTTTTAAAGAAAAAAACTAGAAAACTAAATTTTCAACCAGCTCAATAGTAAAAAAATAAAATCAACAAAAATAATTCTGAAAAAAATAAAAAAATATATGTAAAAAATAATAATTTTGAAAAAAAAACAAATAAAAAAATAAAAAAACATGTGGAGAAAGCTAAAGTTAAATTATGAGACAACTCAATATTGAAAAAATAAATTTGATAAAGATAATTTTTTAAAAACATATATGAGAAAACACTGCAATAAGACAAAAACTACGTAGGAAAACATTATAGTAATCCATTTTTTAAAAATAAAACTACAAAACTAAATTCTCAACTAACTTAATATAAAAAAAAATCTACAAAGATCATTTAAAAAAAATATAAATCATAAAAAGAAAAAGAAAAACAATATATGAGAATATTATAACAATTCATAATATTTTTTTTTAAAAAATTAAATAGTTAAATTTTTAATCATTTTAATATTTAAAAAAATAAATAAAAATAATTTAAAAAAACATGTCAAAAAACAAAAATAAAAAAAAAACTGTTGTAGTAGAAAAGCTACGCGTTTTAGAGAGAAAAAGAGTGCGTGTGTATATGTGCAGGACAGAGGGCTCTACACGTGGTTTACATTTGTCTAAAGATTGAGCCAGCTCCAACCAACAAAAATAAGAAAGAAAGAAAGAATCATGAGTATTTCTCAAAACTACAATTGAAAATTAGATTATTTAGGGTTACGCATGCTATGCAGGGAATTAATTCTACAAGCAGGTAAGCTGCAATGTACTTCAGTTTCTCTAAGCTTTTGCATGCTCGTTTTCTTCTATCCTCGTATCTTCTCATATCGTGGTGGGTTCCCATCTGTTTCCTCAGATGCTGCCTGGGCCCTCAATGGCCTGCTTTACTGCTTGATTTGTTCTGGGAATGGCAAGATAGGTAAAGCTTTCTAGCCCATCCTCTTGTTTTCCTGGATATTCCTTGTTTTTTATCGGTTCTATTTATATTTATTTTTGTATGTTAAATTTTTTTTATTTTTTTATTTTTTTAAATTAATATTTTTTTATATTTTTAAATTTATTCTAATATTAAAAATATTTTTATAAAAAAAGTATTTTAAAAAATAACCACGCTATAACCACATTTTCAATTGTGAGATGACGCAGTGGTCATTAACCTCACTGCCACCACTTTTAAGAGCCCGTCCCCCATTGTGAGATGACGCAGTGGTCATTAATGATGGGCTTCCGGTGCCTGCCCTCTAACCTAACCGCAGTGCCACCACTTTTAAGAGCCCGTCCCCCCTCCTTCCCATCTGCCAAGGTTCGATGTCGAAGCTTCAAGCCGATGAGCATGCCCAATAAGTGCATTAAAAACTGCATCAAACTGCCTGGTGATGAGACATGAGTACAATAAAAAAGCAGAGGACCATTAAGAATTTGCTTAGCTTTTGTTCCCTCTGTAGTCCAATCATACAAAACGAGCGGGAAATCGAGAGAAAAAAAATAAATTCATGTGACAGGGATTGGATCAGCACGAGAAGCACGAAAAAAGACCAAGGTGTAGAGTTAATATACGGATGTGGACTTCACGTTGAGGACTCTTTGGCGGTGTGTAAAGAGAGACAGCAGATTGTTGTTTTCACATGCAATTATTTGACAAATCTATTGTGGATCTGTATGGTATTCTGTAAAGCAAGCATTATTCTCAGAATGATTGTAATTTCTTGAGAGACACCTTTGTCATCTTGTGTTTCAGTGATTGAGAAGTCCTTGTTGCTTATAGCAACTTATGAAGGCCGGGGCAAACCTTCAATATTCAGATTTCAAGCACCCTGAGAAAAGCAAACAGAGGGTGGATTAACGTGCCAGAAAGCTGCATTTATAAGAAAAACAATGCTAAATTTACTAAATGTTTTGTTAAGTATGCGCTTAGCACGCCGACTTCCTAGTAAATTTTAATGGTTAATCTGTTTGATAATTCAACATAGTCAATTGGGCCTAAGTGTTTTTTTTTTTCCCAGGCTTAAGACTAATTGTTGACTCCGAAATACACTGTCCCCTCAAGATATCAATCTCTCTTGATCAAGAAAATCAAATATCA